TCTTTCAAAAAGTGTTTACTTTTATCCTCTTTATAACAAAGTGACACGTTTCTTTTTTATCATCTAATATCATCTCAGGTCAAAACTTTTTTCGAAAACAAAAATCTTTTATTTTATGACCTTAACTAATAATAAATTTAACATTCACTAACCACTTTCTTTTAAAGAAAACAAGATGGTCAGTAGATGAGTAGTATAATGGTAACGTCTTTTTACATTTTAGAGTATGATGTTGATAATGACGATGATATTTATTGGAGGATTTATTTTTCTTAAAGGAATTTACATTGATTACTCATCATTATTTTTTGTTTATTTATAAGAATCTGATTATCACCTTCCCTCCCTCTATTCATCAACGTGTATGGTTACTTTTTTCTACTTATACATACATATATTAATATACACATACATGGAGATATACATTCACACAGGTGAACATATGTTTTTATATTTTCGGCTTATTTTCGTGAAAATCTACTCTGAGTAGATAACGTTGACGTTTCATATATATATATATATATATATGTTTTGTTCATATATATTTATGTATTGAATATGAATTCAGTTTCGGTATAGAGAGTCACGAAGTTGTAGTAATAATGATAATAGTAATAATAAGAAAAAAGATCTATGTATGACATAGCAACACTAAATGTACATTTCATTCCATTATTTCATGTACGGTTGCTATGACTTTGTATGTAAAAAACGAGACAAATATGTACCCCTATCCCAAATTTTGTTTGAACTGAATATTGTGTTGATCAATTGGATTTTTCGTTAAATAAGCTATTATGGTAATAGTAACGTCACTGTCATCTAAGGCAAAAAAGAAGAAGGAATTTCATTCTTTTAGTGAAGAATTTTTCAGTAACACAATGAGTCTTTTTCTTTCAACCAGAGGGGTGAGTAGAAATGATTTTATTCCATTTCTACTTTTTCTCTTACCACATAAGTGTGTGTGTGTTAGGGAAAGACAAACAATGCATTGGATGATTTTGTCTATATGGAAAACAAACTACTATATTTAGAAAACGTGTTTAATATTAATTAGATTAGAGACTTTATGACGAGATTTCACGTTGATTTTACAATAGTTTTCATTATGGACTGATATTATGATCAATTAAAAGTGTCACTAAAAACTAAGACATTGTTTGGTACCTTAGAAAAAATTCCTTATTTGGAACTCAAACTGCAATCACAGATAATTGTATCCTAGGGATTTTAATTTATTCAGTAATCTCGATTCATTTAGAATATCTAGTTGAAATTAAATCATGTGATCACTAGTAACTAATTTCGAGGGGTAATTTTCGTGATTTTGATGAGAAGCTGTAACTAATGGAGTTAAACCCTGTCGGCAGTGAGACAGTTACTAATAAATGCCTTAGAATGATGCTTGAGCAATATCACCGAGTGATTAAAGTTAAAAATATCATCTTCTGAATACTGATTCAGTAATATGAAGGTCACAAGCTCTCTATGAATTCCGGAAGTCCTGGGTGTGATATCTAGTGCGTTCGTGAATACCTACACATGAGAAGTTTCATACTGAGGCAAAGCGAATATCCAAGGATCCGTAGTATCCAATGTTTCTCCAACTGATAGAGTCTGTAATTAAAGTTACTTTCAAAGTATATGGAAATTTTCCACAAAATATTGCCTCACTAAATGATTTATTCAAAGTGTTTCCCATTCCTTTATGTGAATTCTAATTGAATAAGAGATGTGATCAGACGAAAAGTTAGGGTTTACTTAAAGAATGTCAAGAAATTGACGTGAATTTATCTATAATGTCAATTTTTTGTAGATATTTGTTAATGAGCCCCAGCTTAGCGAGCATAACAACTCCAAGATCGTCCTTCTCTTAAGCTAGCTACTAATCATCATCTCAAAAATGATTGATATCAGTGTTATACAATAAAGGCTAATTATTTGATATTCTAGTTAAAGTAGAATTTTGTGGAGATCAATTTAATTTGTAGACTGTATTCGTTATAGATTGATCTCGGTTGAGGTGCTATTGAAAATTAGAAAGCACTGAACAGCTGTTTTGTCACTAGTGTACATCCAGTGGTCCTGAAGGTTAAGCATTTTACATAAGATCTCAAAGTCTTGTGTTCCTTTCATTGTAGGATCATGTATATGCATACTACTGAGGAGTCGCATGCTATAAAAAAACAGTTGTCCAACTCATTCTAGTTGTTAATGATACATCAACTAATTCTGATATGATATTGAGTATGGTCGCAATTATTAATAGAATTCATTTTGTGATTTGTTTACTGTTCTATGTGTATCTCTAACATGATTTGTGTGTGCGCTAGTGGGTGGTAATTAATTAGGAGCAAAGAAAATGACTTCATGAAATTATTCACAAGGTGTGGTTAGAGTTAGTTACATAGAGCCCACTGACTTATGAAATAGATAATAATAAGAAATACTGGTAATAATAGATCATAGAACATAATTTGCAATTCAGTTTATCCAATATTGTGCAATAGATAAACTCTATTTTAAATATAAAATTTAATTTATGAAGAATCCCAAAAACATCTATTCAAAAGACGTTTTCTAGCAACCATTGACAGCTTTTCATTTTCATCTCATAAAAAGGTCTTCTACTAATTTCGCTCTTGCGATTGACATTTACTTTTCATAGTCATAATAAAATATTTTAATCAGATGAATTTTATTATGATTGTCTCATATCTCCTCATGAAGTAGACAAAGAGGAGAAAAAGTATATATCACAGCTCTTTTTTGTGCTTCCATTTGAATTTTCGTAGAAAATTTCATTCATTTAATAAAAATAACCATGAATACATTTGGTACTAAATTATGCATAATTATTCATTAAAGTTGAATAGTGGTTAACAGTAGAATACAGGATCTATATTTCACACTATTGATAGCTTTTATACACATAGTTCCTTTTATTGTTTTGAAGAGAGAAAGAATAAAAATTGTAGCCGAGTAACTGAGATTCATTTTATCATTAGTGTAGAGAATTTGTTGAGATTGTAGGATTATCACAGTTTATAAATGACGAACTGGTCTTAAACCAACATTGAGGACCTGAGAGCCCCGGGACCCCGTTTCTTCCTAACGTGTGGGATGCCTCAGCAGTGAGCGTCTACGAGCCCAGACGTGGATGTCGAACACAGGACGTTCAGTTTCATTTTATGTCGTTTGGTTCTCGTCATCTGCCTGCAACCTGGAACATTGAGACAATTCCAATTACAAATTGAGTTTAAATTACTTGAATGAAAGAGTTTAGTTAGAAGCTGATGTGCCAAATAAAATATTGTGCATACGTATTTATGTAAAAGAGCATTCTACAACATTGATGGTAACAAAAGTTCAAAGAACAAGAAATAAATGGTTACGTAATGAATAAACTCTGATAATAAGAATAAAATGAGTAAAGTTCAGTTAATTAACATAAGATTATTAATCTAAAAGACAGACGTAACGAAGTAATTAAGTGAAAGGGTTGAACAACATTTTATGATGTAATGAAGAAACAATGGTGTCATCATGTCTTAGAAATATTAACAGTCATCTCTTCTGAACACATAAATCGTTTCTGACTGTTGATAGCAATGGCTTCAGCAAAACTAAGAAGATTGGCTGCTTACTAATCACTTTGATAGATTTCAAGGTACCGACCTGATGTCCTGTGTCCATGATATGTATAGTAATTGTGATACTTCTTCTTTTGTTCGATGACTTCGGAAATATATTCATACAACCTAAGATATTCCCTCCTTTCTGTTCGACCGATGTAGCTACTTTGGCAGGTATACGTAAATTTACAGACCTATTTAACTGTAGCATAAGAAGGAGTACTTGTCGACCTTTGATTGAATTATTGGACATGTTGTTTTATGGACTTGTTAGCTTGATATACCTGTACCTCAGTGTTGATATTCATTACACTGGAACTCAAACCGCAGTAACTCTCACTTAAAACCCTCAAACCATTATCCACTAAGCTACTAAATCTTCAGATGTTTATTAGCTTGCGACTTTACATCATTATTTAGTTGAGATAAATTCAAAACAAGGAGATTTATGTGCAGTTAAAAAAATAAGATGATTTGTAAGTTTGAGCAGTCTATCACAAGTAAGAGGGTGAGTAGGGTTTATAATGTTCTTCAATTATTGATGTACTCGCTTAAATTAACTAATTTATTATTTTTGTGCTTATTTATAATAAAGGAAAGATGCGTTGGGTACAAAACTGTACTTTTATAGCAATGAATACATATTTCACCTAGGTTGAAACTCATCAACTCAATAAATTTACATTTTAATGGAGACACAGTCATATGCAATGTGGAACCTGACAAATGTGTGCGTCGGTCCAAGTTAACATATTAAATCGGTACATTAAAATGACATAGCCAAGACAAAAGTCCGAGTAGTAGAAGCAATGACAATATCAGTGGTAGTAGAAAACATCAGACACACACATTATGTAATGAGAGAAGAAAGGATAAATTTAGAGAAAGAAAAGTATACTACAATTTTCAAACTTAAGATGTAGGAGAAGTCAAAGAGTGGATGCCTATGCATCACTGTAACCGATTATAAGACATGTTATTTAGCATCTCCAACCATTGGTTACGATAATCTCTCAGACCATAGCCAGATAGTCCGAATCTACCAACACGGCTCAGACGAACGGTAATTTACTTCATGAACTGATGCCACGTCTTAGTTTAAGGGCCTTTGAATTTTTTTCGAACTTACTCCTACACCAGTCAACATCATTCATTGAAGTTTTCTGCGGTTAGGTTATACATAATACATATCTCAACCACCCTAATCAATAAAGATTTACTAACTCGTCAAATGACTTGCAAACAGGTTACATTTTAATCTAAATACACTGGCGTTTGACTTAACACTAACTTGCTTTCATATATTCTTGGGGACACTCACCTTTTTCGTTAATTTCTGTTCGTTTCTTCTTTATCTCTCTGTAGTCGCTCCTCTCTGTTCCATCATTTCATTACCCACTTCCCCCATGATGAATACCATGCCAACAATGACAAATAATTTAAATGAATTGAATAATCATAATGATAATATACCAACATTACAATCGACGCCTATGCCTGACGTTGTACCCCGATTCGGGTTACATATGAATAATAATAATAATGATACTACTGCAATTACATCAAATATAACTTCACTTCATCATTCTGTATTATTACAACCAAGATGTTCATCTGTTCCACTTCTACAGCCAACATCATCACCAACAACCTTAGGTTTTAATCCAAATTATTCTCACTGTCAATATCGTCGGCATCAACAACCTTCAGATCACCATTATTACTGTGATCATTGTAATTTATCAACTGTACCACAATTCATTCACAACGGTGGAGCAAACATGAATCTCTCGTCTACATCGATTAATCCAATACAACATACAAGTTTATTAGCGAGACGTTTGGCTTATGTTGCAGATGAATTAATGATAGATTATTCAAGAAGAAATCGATCGGGGCGGTATAATTTGGTAAGTTATGATATAATTTTTAGCAAATAAATAAATACTTCGTTTGAAGCCGTTTTATGGAGATCATTTAATTTGTAGCTGATATTTTTCACAAATGGATCTCACCCCAGGAGAGGCGTGCCATTAAGAACCAGGAAGCATTGAAAAGCCCCTGTTTCCCAGTATAAAACTTCCTAGGAATGCGTAGCCGCGGCTCAGATAGCGTTTGTTGAACCGAACATCTTCAGGCGTCTTGGCTAATGCTTGACAACTAATTCCACCGGACTGGCGTCCAGTGGTACTGTTCCAACTTCAATGAATTTGCGATATGATGCAATAATTATCCAGTGCCATTGATGACAACCATTTCACTTCTGACATGTATATGAACTTCACCTGTACTTCCTGGTTTTCATTATTGCGCTAAATGCTATCAGTCTGTTGACTACAAGTTACCAGATAAATAGTTGTTATGTGTAAAGAGATTGTAATAACTCGTTGTTGATATTCTTCACCAATTTTTTTACAGTCCTTGATGGTATGTATATATGCATATTTAGTGGATAGCTCGATATAACTTTCTGTTACAAGTTTTTATATACATCTGAGTTCTGCCTAATATTGGAATCGGAGTTGTACACTAGTTTTATGCTAATTAGGACTTAGCATCACCTGGATACTGTTATAAATTGTTGAAAGGTATGACTAACTTAGTCTAAACAATCCTTGAAATCTAGGATGGACTTAATAACTGTTTTGTTTTAGTTAGTATCTCTTTCACTGTGTTGTACATTCATAAACTCACATAGAGTACTGATCTGATTCAGTGATTTAACAGTATTGTGCTCTCCACAAGATATGCAGGTGTTCTATTCAATCCTTTGTTTTACTTTGTGAAACTGGATATATTACCATTGAGTTTCAAACAAACACCAGAACATCTACCCAATAATTCCTGATATTTAACGATTCTCCATTGTTCGGTATCAGTTTATGCAAGTCACTTTAAAATTTCATAAATTTCTGTGAAGCATCCAACTAAATTTGAAAAAGGAACCTGTTAATGGACCTAATGAGGAGTTGATATCTGGTAGTTTTAATCCTGAATTATTGTGTTCATCATATCATCTAAGTTTTAATCATTGGTTTCCACACAAAAATTGTGATTGATTGAATTACAACTTGTAAAATACAATTTCTGTAAACTTGTATACATTTCTTTGTGTGAAATCGTCACAAATCCCTTAGAGTTTATCAATTATAAATACCATTTCTACTTTAGTCTATAACTACTAATAAACTTCAGAGATGAATTAAATCAAAATTGAAACAATATTTACTGAATGAGAATTGAACAAATATTCCAATTGTACATAACAATCAGTTGTTGTAAAATGAACTTATGGTCTATTTAATAATCAACTTGCATAAATTATAGTCGACGGAGTTTTTTAACATGATGATTATTTTGAGAAAGATAAGGTTATTTTTGTAAGATATTTCTTGATAAATGTGACTGAACTCTTGAATCGGTTTCCTAAGATCATCTAATAACCCCAGGCTAAATCTACACGACAACTTGAACACGAGAGAAAAGGCGCGAATTATAGAAAGAACGCCTTATTTCAGGGTTCATTTCTGTACATAAAACTGAAGGTATTCATAGCATTGCAGATGACCCTGGACTTCTGGATGGTAATGGACCCCTACTAAAAATAGTAGCAGGGTAGGTAATCATCCAATCAGAAATGTGACACGTGACTATTCACTTTCTAGGTGTTTCTGGAAAACTTATATTCAGTGCTGATTGGATAGAATGCATCCCAGGGATTTTAGGGCCTCTCTGGACTATTTTCAAAGAATATTTTGGATCTCCCCAACATTTCTGATATATGGATTGTTTTGTGATTTCATTTGAAATTATTCAATAAATGTACATTGGTTCAATTTATTATTATACACTTTGTCTTACCATTGGAACATTGAGGGGAGAAATTAATAGGATGAAAAGAAACAAACATAGGAATCAATGTAATAATATGAAATAATTGTATGTCACTCGAACCCTACTTTGACACCCTACATTGGGTTTATATAACCAAAGCGATATTACTAATCGTTATACAAAACGTTTGACTCAAATTTAAGTATGTATGTGTGTACCTTTTACTGGTAAATTAGTTTGGATTAGACACATTGACCAGTCCAAACAAAGACCTCCCTGAAGTCTGATAAACTTTCGAAATTCTTCACTTTATGGAAAGAAAACAAGATTTACACTTACTAATATTGTCTTTTTTATTCACAATTATCAATGATTGGTAGTTTATTAGCCTACTGCTGTGTTGTTAGTAGTAATAGTAATCTTATTATCCGACTGGATAAAATCTTCCTCTCCATAAATGGTAAACTTCCATCAACCCATAGTAATGACTAATCACATGCATTCAGTACTATTATATGTATTTTCGCTGTTTTAGTTTTTTCCACACATTTTTGTCATAGACTTATCTATCAGTTAGTCAGTCAGTCATAAGTAACGTAGAAATTGGTGTTGTGTGGTGTAAGAGAAAGCTGGAAAAAGGCTAGGGACAGCCAAATCAAAAAATGGCATCAGTCCGCGAAGTCACCAACAATTGAACCTATCCATATCTGGTCGGGGTCCGCATGATTATCGTAACCAATGGTTAGAGACTTTGAATGACATGGCTCAAAATCATTTGCAATGGCACAAGTGTATTCAGTCTCTATTTCCCCCAAATTATGAGCTTCTATATTCCTCATAATTTTTTTTCGTTTTTATTTCACAAACATATTTTCTTTTCGAGTTTTATGTTCAATGCCTAATCTTTCCTATTACCACTGACACTGTTACTACCTCTATTATTCTGGGATTTGACTTGAGAACTTTTCTCTGTGCTAATAAGATATGGGAACTCTAACCGCTGTACATACGTACAGGTTATACGTTGTGACTGACCGAACGTACATATATGCATATATATGCATTAGTCCAAGTTGGCACGTTACCCCAGAATATCGAGATGAAATTAGAAGTATCAGTAGCAGTAAAACAAATTAATCATAGAGAAGGTATTTGAAGAATCTTGAATATGCAGAATGACGAGTATAAACTAATTTCGAAACTTAGGATCTAAGGAAAGACAAAGCGAATGCATCTGTGTCATTGCGACGGATTCTGAGCCATACCAGTCACCGTCTCCAATCATATTAGTCATGGTTGTAGTGGAGATCAGAAGCTGGACCCATGAATAATCAATGGCTTCACAAATAGATGCCATGTCTTGATTTGTCTGTTCTTAACTTTCTTCCAATCCAACACAATACTACCCAACAATATACATCAAAGTAGGCGGTGGTTGGATGCACTTAAAACATGTCCCAATCACCTCAGTTGATGATAATATCCGATCTTATGAGTCAATTTGCCATCTTTGACTGCTACCCCACATCTAACCTTGACATTTCTCACTCAGTGGTCTCAATATACACGTGGAGTGCTAGAACGAACTAAACAAGTTTTCTGAATCTTTACCTATTATTCATCAGACACCAACCTACTCAGAGCGATTAAATTTGCAAGATAAATAAAAGTGGTCGACACGTCCATCTACCTCACACTCCTGACCATTATTAGTTCAAGCGTTGTCGACACAGAGACAATGATATCTAGTGCAATAGGATAGTAAACATTTGAATAACTTTGTTCCATTTTTATTTAATAAAATTGTTTTAGAGTCTTATGCTTCCACAGACCGAGATTGTTCTGTTCTGATAAATATATCTCAAATATATATGTGTTTATCTCATATCGTTGGATTACTCATACCTACCAACTTACTTACCTACCTACCTATACCTCCTATCTTGTAACTCATCTTTACTAATTTTTGTTAAAGTACAGAAGAATAAATTTCTTACAATATATGAACCGAATCAATAACTTGATATGGCTATGACTCACTTAGTCATTCACTCATTCACACACACACACTCACACTACCCATTATCTAGATAAATAGTCAATCATCTCAGGTAAAAGATAGTACATATATAGATAGATATACACTGGTAAAATTTCTGTTTATGTATACAAATCTACGCATAAAACAAGTATCATGTGATACAAATGTAACCTTGAAATTTAACCTTAAAAGTCAAGTATAAGATTTGCTTTCATTATGTATTTTTTGTTTGAAATCTTTTACACTTTTACAAGTTTTCAATAGTGTATTATGGTTTGACAAAAAAAAAGAAAATGAATTATTGTAATTAATTTTAATTTAGTCGTTTGTCATTATAAAAAAAAATTAAGATGAGATAAGCAACAGTTTTGAAAAGTGTGTGAGTTGTCTATTTGGTTAAGAGATTATTCTTACTGTTTTCGATGTTCAATGAATGTATTGTGTTTTAATACAACTTGAATCATTTTCCAATTCATTCAATGACTGAGTACTACATATGACAGTGGGATTTCCATCAAAGATTTCACTTCAAGCTCTAAATTTCACTACATTTGTGCTTTCCATCCAGCATTTTCTACTGCACTGTACACTGATTTATCCATAGCAAACAGTTGTGGATAATTTCAGATGCTTTGAATATAATCTCTTGAAAATTACAGTTTATTGTACAGTATTCACCTACTGAACGCAACGTCCGTCATTGGACATTGAAGACGTTGCAGATGACTTCAATTGTCAAAATAAAAGTTTCCTGAAAGGCGAGTTTTGTTTATAAATGGAGAATATTATCTGTAACAAATTGCAAGATGATTTTTTGTCATGAACTGAGATTCAGTGAAAAATTACTGATAACTAAAGAGCGTTATTCATTTTAAATTGAAACTTTCATAGGCGCGCTCATATTTAGGGCTACACACACAAAAGTGAAATTATAACCTTCAGGTCTCTCGATAAACACAGCGTAATTGAGCCAGTAAATCAAAATCTGGTAGTTCATACAACGAACTGATCTTTGTTCTAGATTCAGCTTCAATGAGTACCAATATTTATGTCTTCAAATAAACAAATAAATAAATAAAAAGATTTTCACACTAAAATGAAACGGTTATTCAGTGCTTCTTAGTTTCGAATGCTTGTCCGTAATGTAAGCTATAAAAATTCAACAAACTTCATAAACCCACTTCACTAAAATTAAATTGGTCTTGTATACAGTGACGTAGTTGTTAGAAATGAAAATCTTGTATCAATATTTTTAACTGACAATTAGGCACCAGTATGAATTCATCCAGGAATTCTATATTTTCGAATGTTATCTTCAGTGAACTGGATTACAATCAAATATTGTTAAATTATTACTTTTAATTAGTAGTAGCAATTTAAGAACTATGAAATTTAACAAGGATTATTTATAACAAAGAGAAAAGAAATATTTAATTTAACAAATGTAGTTTTAGAAGGGGTTTTGTGAAGATTGTAGTAATTTCAATAGTTAAAATCATGAGTCGTTTGAAGCTAGACTACCATAGAAAACCTGAAAGCACTAGAAGGCCGTTTTGTCCTACTGCAGGACTCTTCGGCAGTGCGCATCCACGAACCCGCTCACGAGATTAGAACCCAGGATCTATCAGTCTCGCGCGCGAGCGCTTAACCACTAGACCAATGAGCTGGCCGGCATCCAACGGTGTTAATTTTTAACTTCAACTAGTCCACGAAATTGAGTGACACATCCACCATTGTCATCAGTGAGTTACTATTTCACAACAGACCCAGTTGAACTCCACTGGTCCCTGTTTCTCACTAGAACTCCAGGATATATATGCAGTTGAAATTAGGCGGGATCGTGGGTGAGCACTGCTGAGGAGTCCCACAGTAAGATTAAACGGCCGTCCAGTGGTTCCAGGTTTTCCATGGTGGTCTGGCTTCAATTCACTCATGATCTCAACTATTGAAATGTAGTTTTCTCGATAATCAAATTATTTTATCATGATTGACTCTTAAAATAGAATGGTTATTTGAAATTGTGTGTATTTTTTTTAAATTGGCGAATACTTCAATGTTAATTTAGACGCACACGTCAATGATGCTTTATATAGAAGTGAGTTCCTCTTGAATTTAATTAATCTAGCTGTGAGAATAACTGAATTTGACACATACAATTTGATTGGTTTAAAGTGTGAAATAATTTAACAGTATTTTTTTCAGGATAATTTCTGATGATTAGTGCATAATATTGACTTCAGACTACTAACAATTGGTTTATCATATTGTAGTGAATGTGAATTCAAGTGGGTAAGGCCAATTTATTATTTAGTGCACAATCACACAGTAGTTTAGTAAAATGTGAGAATCATACATCAAATACATCATTTGCACATCTTCGAATTGTCTCTTGCAAGCTTCGTTGTTCTTTCATTTCCGTTATTATCTTGATCGCTCTCAGTTTCCTTCTCTCTTCTCTCCATTTCAATCTTCTCAGCCTTTTTCTCGCAGACATTCCACTTCCGACTAATGTTGCATACTACTTATATCTACAAACATAAGTAGCATACACCACAATGTCAACAGGAAATAATCAACAAAGAGAAGAGAATTATCAAACTGTTACATTAATGATATTATACCATTGTTATAAGTTTGTAATGTTTCTTCAAACAAAAACAAACAAATGTTTCATAATATACTTACTGGTTAATAGGTTACACATTAATTCACCAGGGTATAACTATTCATATCTCATTAAAATACATTTATTCTCACCTGTTCTCAGTAGTTAACTCTTAAGTTTATTAAATGGGGTATTCGGCAAAAAAACAACTATTTAATTGTCTGGCGCCATGTTCATTAACAATACCATATAAACATTTATTCAATTCAAAATAATAGTAGTGATAATAATTACCATTATTATTATTATTATTATTGTTATTATTATTATTATTATTATTATTATTATTATTTTATGTAGACAATCTCAAAATAATTCTGAATCCACAAGTCATTTTTTAAAAATTCCATGAGAAGAGCTTATCATTGTTTGTATTTATTCAGTCAGTCAGCTGTAAGCAATGTAGAACTTGGAAACTCAGCAACTAAGTGTAAACAAAACATGGGTTAACATCAATTACTAATCTCGGTTATAGCACAGATTCCAATTAGAAAGTTTGCACTTCAGCCCAATAGTGATTTACTTCAGAGACTGATATTATGTCTTAGTTCATCCCTCTCCATAGCTTTCTTCCAACCCATTCATATAAGGGCAAACTACGTAGATCGAGGTAGGCGTTGGTTGGGCATATGAAATATATAGATCCATTCAACTTTATTACCAATAATAATGTCCGATGTAGTTCTATATATAACATTTTCGTACTGTGTTTTTTTCCTTTATCAAACAGACAACCGGGATCTTATTCAATTATGGAATTAGAACAGCGAATTACAGTATACAAGCATTTTGGAGATTTTCATTGAATCTATTTTCATTGTTTACATTTACAGTCGATTATGTATTACGAACTATACGATTAATTATTGGTCAATCACCGTCACCGCAAAACAATACAAATCCATCAGAGAATATTGCTAATCCGTCAATAAACTCTTCAAATCAATGTACCGTTTATTCCAGACAAAGTATATTAAGGCATAGTACTAATAATGACAATGATAGTGGGGCCGTTGTTGGTAATTACTCTATATTTCCTCCACATAATCATTATTATGTAAATGAATCTAATCAATCTGATCTTAGGAATTCAGCTCTGTCTCTCCCCTCCTCTTCCTCTTCTTTTTCTCCTGCTATTGGTAGTATCAATCATACTGCAAGATTTTGTCAATTAAGTCCCTCTACTCAATTGTCAACATTGCCATCGTCTTATATATATCCTTACCACCATAATTATTATTACCATCACCATCAGTCTTCAACATCTCAAATGCTTCTATTCCACTCTACTGATGAACAAAGTTCTAATTGTTCAGAAACAAGGACAATTGAAACTGGTCATTCGTCTAACTGTATGGCGGAAATTGGCATATCGGATTCGGATAGTAATTAAACTATCTTGTAATGATAGAATTTTAAACGTAATAGTTCGTCTTAATAACTAAACAAATGATCTTTTCAAAAAACGCAGTACTAAATTAAAACATCAACCATCTATTTATCCCGAATATAATGCATAGATTTCAAGACTAAGGACAAATTTGTGTTTTCCCGTTCTTTTTTTTAATATATGCTTAATATTAATAAGTTTAAGACGAAAAAATGCAAATCCTAAAATAACGACAAAAACAGGGCAAAGATTTATATTAAATTTATCTCACCCACAATACAACTACTTTTTGAAAGTGAATAATAAGATATAAATGTATGAAAGAAAACAAACTATTTTTATTTGTTCGCACATAAACTACTTTGATCATCTCTTCATATCCATCATTATGATACTTCAGATTGATTTCTCCACTCTTCTGAATGTCGATTCATCATCCCATATTGTGTAGCCTTGATCATTGAATCAATATATTTACTCATTTCCTATTGGTCGATTCTCATCGTATGCCATAGTGAATGAATTTTTGTCAGCCAATCAAAATATCGAAGTGGCAGGTAGTCAGTTGACTGTCAATAAAATTATGAATGATTCAATGGACTGCTAGACAATTTCTTTTTGATCGTTCATCAAATTTATATTTTTCTTCTACTTTCTTATTCTATATTATTATTATTGCCTTAATTGAATCCTGATGTTGTTATGCTGAAGTAGAGGTTTCTTCCCGACCAATTTTTTTTCAACCGGTTTCCTTAGTTGATTGGATCGTGTAGTCTCTTATGTCTTTTTTTATATTAAAAAAACGATACATTCTTATGCACTGATTATTCAATACAAATACTTGCATTTTGTTACATTGAACAGTACTCTTTATACCTATCATATTTGTTTATACGTTGTTATTGTTATTAGTGTTATATATATATTTATATTTCTATATATTTATACACATTATACACATACATTTAGGGGTCAATCTGTTTTTTTCTCAAAAGAACAAATCATAAAGTAGATTACTACTATTCTTGGCCGATTTTTTATACGTCGGTAGGTTTCAACAAACAAAGTGGAGGACAACGAACAACACTTTTATAGTCGAGAAAAACTCTCCTTTATTAAAGGAAATAGGCTCTACTTTTTGTTTATCGATTTATTATTATTATTATTATTATTATTATTATTATTATTATTATTGTCCCTATACATTTTTTAATTTTTTTAGAGATATGCATGTATGTAATTAGTGCCCCTTTTCTTTCTCGTCTGTGAAACTAAAATAGAATTCCTATTGATCGCAAAAAATAAATAAACGAGTGAATCGAAATATAAGATTGTTCTTTTTGCTTTGTATTTTCTCTGTACATTTGAGAAAAAGTTGAGCACACAGTTACTACTATTTTGTTGTTAGTTAATTAGTTTTGGGGAAATTATGATGAGTTAGTCATATGAATCTGTTCAGTGAAAATATGCATGAATGAAGGTTATAAAAACGTGGTTTTATCAAATTTAAGGTATCTTATCCATATATCCTTAGAAATACTCCCCATTTATGACAATATACTTGTACTATCTCCGAACTCAGTGTTCCAAACACCCTTGGAAATGTTTAGTAGTCAAGCTCTTCACGTATCTTATTGCCTTACGCAATTTCGTCGAATATAATTTTTGTGCTAAAATTATATCTGGAATTATTTCTGGAATTCGAAGAAATTACAAGACGTCAATGATTGTTCTTACCATTCTTTCTTGTACTCTATGCATCAATCATCAAGTGGTTAGTCCGTCAGTATAGCAACTTTAAATCAACAACCCGACAAACATATGGAAAATAATAACGAAACCAATAGAAATTTAAGCATAAGAAATACAGTTTATAAAGGAACAAAGCATGACAAACACTGTGTAGTATTTTATTTCCAGTATTGTATAGAATTATGTCAGTCGATCAAATAAAATTTAGCCACTAAACTTTAAATCACTTTACCCTACAGTATTATCATTTTGAATACACTGAATACAAAACAACTCGACTAATTAATGTATCCAAAGGTAACATTCTCCAGGGTGAGTTTCATCACGAAGTAATGTAAGCTGTAAAAAAACCAAAAAATCGAAGAACAATGGATCATTTATTCTAGTCTAGTTTTGAGTCTACTTGTTGTAAAACTTCAAGATCTTGGGTCCCACCCCTTGTAGTTTTGCTGATGAGTTCCGTTATAAGAGTGACAATACTAAGGTGAACAAAATAATTATCTAGAGTTCATTGATATTTCTATGGTCTATCAAATGTTTGACAATCCATAGATATTAGTGTAAAGAGTCTGTGAATATTGTTGAATTTCATAGTTCACAATACAAGCTAACCTTAGACAACTATTGAGTACCAAGAAGCGCAATACAATTATTTTTTCTTCGTATGGAATTCGCATGAATGTTCATTTGCTTGCCTACCAAAGATCGGAACCAGGATATCCAGGTTTTAACCTTCTGGCTACTGAGTGGATATCTAGTATACTAAGTTCCTAATTTCGATCAACTCGCGATTATGCGCAACTATCTTCTAATGCCACTGGTCGATAACTATAAAATATGTAATAAAAACTATCTTTAAATTGATGGGGCCACCAATTGGAAAATAAATTTGAGTTGATTGGTTAGAAAAAGGTGGAAATGTTTTCCATCATTAATTTACGCGGTTATTTCTTTACTTCCATAACCCCATATTTATAGGAAGTGGTTAGATTATAAATTAATGTTTTAACTCGTTGGTTGGTGAGATGTAAAGACTTTGCTACTCTCGAATATCGACTTATATTCGAACATAATCTGAATATTCTTATTCTTTTGGTGGAGCAATCCGTGTAAAATATCTGGTTATTTTCACAATGTAATTTTCATTTGGCTAATAATATATCTGTATAAGTAATCCCACATTTATGAATTGGAGACTAGATGCTTACTCCATGATCTTGTAGCGGTAAATAAATCCCCAAAATCAATAGCTCTGTAAGTCTTCGACATTGGATGCTGACCAAATTAGTTTTAATAGACTCATCTATCTAAAGGTGCTCGATCATGCATCCGCACCAGATCATGAGTGAGAACGCCATGCTCAACATTCCCTGCAATCGCTAGTCAGTCTAGATCTAGATATATTGATAGCCTATCAAATATATCTTCAAACCTCCTCGCTTCTGACATTTGATTTTACTAGGTGGGTACGATTCATAATAAGTGTTACTGGTTAAAGCGTTGTCAAACTCCAAATACCTGTAACATCTTCAATCTAAAGAAATTTGATGTTATATATAATAAACTGATTAACGGATATAATAAGAAAGATTATTCATATTTTGTAAAAGAGAGGACATTGAGTGATTGTTTTAGAAGTCAGATTTATGATACAATTCATTCAAACATTTATTTTAATATGTTAAAATGTCGATTGGTCATTGAGAGAAATGTCACAGTAAAGATTTTATACATAAATGGAAGAATTCAAAGAAATTAAAAAAATTTATCTTCATTCGACAATAATTTTCTGTAGCCATAGGCTAGATGTTTTCTAATTATATTTGTGCATTTCTGTAAAAAAAAATAAGGTGGAGGGATAAAATCGCATTTACAATTCATCACTGTCGTATTAATCGACTGGGTTATATTATATACAAACTTCGTGTGAGAACAAAAAGTGAACGTTTTTAAACAAGTCAGTAAACTTTTAGTTATTATAATTCTATTTAAGTTGGATAAAAGTTGTTAGTAGAATTCAGTGAACTAGTTTCGTCCCATTTACGATTAGTCATCTGGATATACTTGAGTCTCAGTTTTCATACTAGTTGTCAAATCTTGTATCTCTCTTTTCAAAAGACAATGAGTAAACCGCTCACCCAATGAGTTCAGATGTATGTCCAAAAAATAGAACGATTATTTACGGTTATTAACATCAACAACGAAATAGGACAAACCCCTTCAAAATAAAACTCATAACTGCTACACAAGCTATCCGCTGTTTTAGGCACATATTAGTTAGAATTTTAGTCTAAAATTTAAAGAAAGAAGCTTGAGCATTCACTATTGATCGGTCTTATTTCTGTAATCTCAATAATAATTATTACTTTGGTCATTTTAGTGACTTACTATTATTACGTGCTTTTAATTCATATTATTGATTATTTATGGTTGTTAGTTTTTTTCTGTAATTTTTTGTTCGTTGCATTATTCTTACATATGATTACCTGTGGTGTTTGGATTAACTAACGATCCTATTCTACTTGTTGAATGCTCGATTTCGAATTCTAAATACAATACATTCGTTGGTACTTGTGTCTTAATTCTTGATCCCGACCGAAGCTGCTACCTTGACGCGGTGGTCGGGCTTGCCTATCGTGATGACCCAACCGAGCTATATTGGCTGGAACATATGTTCCTGTAGGTTCTACCATGCCAGGCAGGTCGATTGGAGAACGGTAAGACTAAAAGCAGCAACTCAAGGTCTGAGGGCGAAGTCGTACTGCTGACTGTAGAGGGGTGTGACAGCAGTAAGGTGTTTCCCTCGGACAACCAGCATGACAGCGATGCTGCCTTCCCACAAGGAGGGGTGGGGTTAGAAAAGGTCGACCCTAAAAATGTCACACCTCACCTTACCTCACGGATTTCCGTCTCCGGCGGTAAGGCCCTTTGAAGAACGGAGCTAACACGTCAAAAACCTTCCACAAAAAGGCCGTGCGCGACCGGCCTCAAGCAGTTGTCCCTTGGGCTCTGCGGTCACGCTCCCAGGTCGTCAAGACCAACACTAATCCAATTTCCTTTTCAGGTTCCTCAAGAAATACCCTTCCACGGTGTGGGCAGCCGGGAAGTGACATCAGCCCTCATACCCGTAACAGCACAAGAGACCAAGTTGGTCACATTCAAATCCTTCCTACACCTCCTAATACCTCTCTTATCTCCATGACTAACCCTCCTCACGTCTCTTTATCACCTCGCACCGCTAGGGCAAACGA